GACTAGGTCACTCAAAAAGGGTTATCACACATTCATAGCTAATGTAGAATCTAGCCCTAAAATGAGCTCTTCTGTCAGCAAAAGCGATAGATTCATCCTAAAGAAAATAGGTTGAAGGGCTCATGCATGCATTTTAATTATAGGCATCATGTAAAGATAGCAACATAAAACCACATTGCTTTTTCACCTAGAATTTTGGATGCATAGAGTTAACCCAATCTTTTTTTTACTGCAGATTGCTGAGTTATTCAAGGAGGACATTTGGCCTGACCCCCTTTCTTACTTCAATAATGTTAGTTCCTAGTCGTCATTCTGCTCTTTATTGGCAAATATTCTTTGATTGCGTACCAGAGTGGTGTAATGTTATATTTTATAAATTTCATTCACAGCAAGGAGCTGAAGATGAAGAATTTGAGGTTGATGATGAGGTAAATGATGATTGATTACCAAATCTGTTGGGCTTTTCTTGAGTCTTGATTATGAACAAACATTGGTCATCTGAATCTTAAATGAATAGTCACCATAGTTTTCATGCATATATAAATATCTGAATTATATTTCTCTGCTCATCATCTTTGCGCTATTGGTTTCTTGATAGACACTGAACTAGGATGTACAACGGTAATAGTAAACATCTCCTTTGCTTCTTTTAAAGACAATTGTCTCTAGGAATTAGTGGTTAGATTTAAAAATAGTTTTCAGTGCAAGTCATAATGTGCCTTAACACGGAGTGGGTTGTTATTAAAATTGTTTCTTGTACTTTAAAAACAATGCATTGATACATGAAGCTGGAAAAACCCATTTCAGTTATAGAACTCATTGATTAAAAAAAACGTAAATTGTGTTTTGCAAAAACTTTGTGCTCGGCGATAATTATACATTTCTTCTGATAATTATTAATAGGCATATCCTAGTGATGTGCCTGCCCCAAGTCTCTGTCTATCTCAGAGTATGCTTGTGAACCATTTTAGCCTATTAATTATTTTTTTACTTGGGTTTTGTTATTAGTTTCACATATAAAAGATAATTAAACTATTTGTACACAAAAAACGTGTGCACCAAGTTTAAATGAAACTGATTTAGGTTCATAGCTTTGGCATTGACTACTAGCAAGGTAGATAGACTGAGAACTAATTCGGTAAATATCTTGGACTGAACACCATGAAGTAAACGGGTTAAATCCATTAAATAATATGCTGTACTAGGTAACTTAGGGAACCCAAACAACGTGACTTAATCTTGTGTTCGGGTATTGTTTTGATTGAGGTAATATTGCAGGAGGATTGTGATGGCTCTGAAGATGATGAAGAGCAAGATGGCGACGATGACGACGACGATGAAGAATAGGTTTTTCTGCAATGTTCTCTTTTATTCTGCTATTTGAGTTGTTGTTACTCTTTTATATTGCGAGTGTATGTATTAGAGATGATTAGAAACACCGTAAAATGGAAAATGGTTGGCTTTCTTCTTCTATAGGCATCAAATCGTAGCAGTCCATCTATTTTTTGTTATCTTCTCTGTTTTGGGCTGAGATTACACTCTATTCCCTGTATGTTGTGATAATTTTCATGTTATGTAGGGAACATTTGAATGTTCAACTTATATTTGTGGTGTGCGCCGCTCAGTACAAATTGCCTTTTTGTTTTTGTATTTCAATGCATCATTACAAGAATTTTGATCTAAGACTAGTTTCTTCAAGTGGTACTCATTTTTTTTCAAAAAAAAAGTGGTACTCATTTCCTAATTATTTTTATTATTTATTTGATAAAATAATATAATCATGTTAGATCATCTTTCGAAGAGTTTTTTTTTGTATTTTTCAAGTATGTAAATTTTATTTTTTTAATACCACCCTAATTCTCAATAAGTTGAATAAGAAAAATAACTTCAGTTAAAGTCATAAATTGAAACAAGTGCTTTAAAATGAGATGGAAGAAGCACTACGTACAAACGCTGCAAGTTGCCGTAGACGTGGCAAAACTGAAATTAACCAAATTGGATAATAAGTACTCGAAATTAGACTAGATGCACAATAGTTAAGCCATTGTTGGCTCGAAACACCAAAGAAACAAGTTTGAAACTCAACCTATCTAAAACCTAATAATTCTGATGCAACCACTTGGATTTTAATTGGCCTATTCAAACGCAAACTTGAAATGAGCAGAATTGAATCCAATCTTTTTATATTCTTGTATTTTCTTGGGACTTTTAGAAATGTATTTTCTTTCAACTTTATGTTGTTCTCTGCTCATTTTAATATTAAAATGTGTTGTTCTCTTATTATTCGTCGTTTAATTTATGTGCTGGACCAGGTAGTGCAACCCGAGGTCGTCATGATTTTCATACTGGTTACAATTTCAAAGAGCCACCTAGAGATCATTTGATCTCTACAATTTTTTTTTGGAATCAAGGAACTTGAATATCGGGATAGTTTTTTCACGCAAAAGCCACTAGAAGATAACGGAAGAACAGAATCACTAAAGGAGGCACTTGGCGTACTTGGGGTAATGGTCTGGAGAAAAATACTGAGAGTTACTTCAAAGAGTGATTTACGCCTCAAGGTCTGCCAAAGGATCGGAAGAGGTGGCCTGACTAGTTCCATGCAAGGTCTCTGTGGACGTCAGATGCAGCCCTTCAGAGTAGAGGAGGTTAAACATGTTATTTTTTCAAAGCATCTTAATAAGTCCAAGTGGGTTTAACCCGAGGTTTTATCAATGCTTTTGGGAATTCATTGGCCCGAAAGTCTCAAATTTTTGAGTTTTGCACCTTGGCTTGGGAGTACGTTATACCTCTTTCTCTTGGTGATATCAGTTGTCCTCATTTTCAAGAAACAGGACCTAGAGGGTGTGGCAGAGTAGTGTCCTATTGATCTATGCAGAGTTCTTTATAAGATTATGAGTAAAATGGTGGGCAACATGCTCAAAGCTTTGCTTCTAAAATTGATCTCACATACTTAGAGTGATTTTGTGGTCGGAAGAGATATCCATGACTTGGGAGAAGCCGCTGAGGGATATTGTGAAGATCAATGTCGACGGATCAACGAGCCTTGTGGATGGCGTTCTAGGACTTGGCTCCTTGGCAAGGGGCCATAATGGTAATGTAAAAGAAGCTTTGAGCTAGATCAAGACGAAAGAATAGAAGGAATTATCATTGAGCAAGACTACAAAGAAGTTGTCGATAAGAATGATTAGTTCAACATATGATTTGTCTTATTTTTATTCTATTATTTTAGATTGTAAGATCTTTAGGCAACTTATGGTGGAGATTTTAAGTTTTTTTGTTCCTCGCTCTACTAAGGAGGTGCCCCATGTGTTAGCGCGCATATCTCATTTCGCTCAGAGCATGGGGTAGTGAATTGGTTCTCCCCCTTACTTTATTGCTAGTTAAATATGGAGTATAATCTCTCTTTTCGCTTCAAAAAAAAGTTATGTTCCTTTTTCGTGTAGTTACTTTATCTAAGTTATAATACTTTTATGGTGAGTACAGTTTTCTCTATTTAGTCCTCTATTATCAAATATTATCCTGGTGGTCCTTGTTTTATAAGTATCTTTTCACAAATAGTCATTTCAATCTTATATCGTATTAGTGTTAATTTGAAGGCTAAACGTGTAATTTCACAATGATCAAATATCTTTATTGTCATATACAATTCAAGAGACCGCTCCTGATGCATTGTTTGTGAATTCTAGTCACTTTTTACTACAACTAGAGTCTACAGATATTGTTTTTCCCTTAAAATTCTAGTCCACGTTCATAGTCATTATTGTTGTGTTATCCGGTTACTGATATTAGAATACGTCACTGGACATAAAGTTAACGTCAAATTACACTTTTAGCCTTCAAATTAACACGAATATGACAGAAGATCAAAAAAGACTATTTGTGAACCACATAGGTAAAATTTGATAATAGAAGACTAAATATGGAAAAACTCCATGTTATAAAAGACTAATTTACTCTATGGAAAAACTCCATGTTATGGGAAAATTTACTCTATAATTTAATTTGGAAAATTGCTTGCCCTTTAACTGTGTTCCACTTTGGTTTAATTAGTTAGGGACATAAATTAAATTGCAAAAATGGGTAACTCAAGGCAATATTAGTTCGACAACTCCTTGAACCCGAACTAGTTAAAGCACATCTCGTGATTTACCTCGTTTGTCAATTCTAAGCACTGTAGGGTGTGGCAACACCTCGTTTATCTGAGCGGGTGCGGCAGACCTTTAGGGAGCACTGTATCAAAAGCAATGCAAACAATCTTACAAGTACTATTTGGCTCCAAGTGTCCTAAACAAAATATTCTGTACGCATTTTTCACGTGGTTTAAGAAAGTAAAATTTTAAAAATCAATTTAATCAGTAGAGAAAACCCAAAAATTAATCACACATCTCTTCTCAAAAAAGAGAAGGAAAATATATTTAAAAACAACACATAGAAAAGTGCAAAGTATATAAGAGGCTGATGTAATACAACATTATTTTATGCCTTGTGCAATTTATTTTTTTCATTTTACGAATATTTAGAAATCTTTAGTGCTTCATGTCATTCCTTACATCTCAAATTAAACTTTTCATTGCCTTTGGCATGGTAGAGTAGAGCAAATGATAGGTGGATCTGATATGGTGGGCTGTGAAACGAGTGCCGAATGGGCTACAAAAAAATAAATGAACCCCATCCCCGAGAGCCCCTCAGACCCAGCCGGACGGTGACGATGAAGAGTTGATGGGCGAAGGGTGGTGTTTCACCTAGTTCATTTTCATTCCTAATCACGTTCAAGGTTAAAAGATTCAACAAAACATAGGTGAAAACATTGATTAAGATTATACATCAAACGTGGTCAATTAGTACGGGTTTAAAAAAGTTCAATGACAACATAAAGTTGGAAAGACGAGCACAAAACCTTTAGGTCGAGCAGCATTACTAAGGCTCTCCCAAATAGAGATCACAGGTTTGAAGCTTGAGTCGGTTATGAAAAATTATATCCACAAATATTAAATTCTAATAGACTTAATAGTACTAGAAAAAAGATGGATAGACAAGATTGATATTTCCATTCTTAAAGTGATCCATGATTACAGATAGCCTACCTTCTTATCTTGAAAAAAAAGGTGGAATCCCCGCCCAGAGTCTCCCACACCCCTCCACTGGGGTTGGTGGACGAGATGAATTGCGCGATGTGACTCAACTGACCAGGGACGACATGATTTTTGTTATGGCTAATCTCACCTACAAGGGGCTGAATCCAAAAAAGACGCCTCCAAGACTTGAACCCCCATCCTTTAGGTCGCTAGCAAGGCTCACCAACTGCCTTTGCCAGTTGAGTTGTGCCCCGGGGCAACCTACCTTCTATCTTGAGAATTCATGGCATGTGGCCCACCAAATATTGGCCTCATATAGGCATCATCAAACCTCCTCCAATAGGAATGGACAGTATAGATGGGCCTTTCGATGAGCATGGACAAACTATCCTTTGCGCGCAGAATGTTGGTTGTTGCTGATTCCTCAAATGAAAGCAATGGAAGCCTCATGTCTTCCTTAGAGATACTTGGTTCCCGGTCAATGCCGCTGCTACTGTCATGACGATGAGGAAGAAGGTAACTTACAAGGGGTTTTGTCAGAAAACCAAATACCTGCATTTGCATGAGAAACTTTTATAGTTAAAAAAAATCCCCATATAATAATTGGTATTCATTTAGCAAGAACAAAAGGATCAAGATGGTTGGGCTGTAGGGAATAAGGAATAGATAGAAATCAATTTGCTTACTATTGTGCTGAAGAGCACTACGATGACTGTTGTTGTGACCATTGTAGCGTAGGTGGGATCTAGTGTGACGCCAGAGTGAGTAAACTAAATGCACCCAGAAGCATATAAAGTTAACTCGTAATCACATTTCTTCCAACATTCTCTCTAATTGTTTCTTCACAATCAGGAAACACGAAAGCCATACCTGCTTGAAGGCTAAGGCAATAGATACAGCTCCCCTCATTAACCCGGCCCACCATATAACTACCTTTTAGATCAAAGATAAAAAAAGAGTGGTTCAAAGACAAGTTTATGTGAGAAGAACAATTAATGACAAGGTCAGTTAAGGACAACTCTAAAGATCATAACCTGGTGCTTCAATGTTATTGACGATGACCTTGTGCGGTTCCGGTTCATACAGTTGGAAAGAGCAGAGAGAGGGAATACAAAAGCTGCACGTCCTACTAGTATGAGTAGGAGGACAGTACCATATACACCCATCGACTTCTGAACACTAGAAATGGGAGCCGTGGAACAAAGAAAGAAGAATGAATAGGGATGCGACAATTGAATCATGCTAGACAATCACTCAGAATTTTCAATATAAGATGCACTGCTTTTATGCTGACTTAAATTCACACTTTATGGGCAATGTTTCTGGCATAGTAAACCAATTGTTTGTAGGAATTTCCATCCTTAAACAAGGAACGGCTGGTTAATAAGTTCAAAGGAACGGCTAGTAAATGAATTGATTCCTTTTTTAGAGCTGGATAGCTTTAGAGAGGGAAACCATTGAACCTCTAATCCAGGTTTCTAAATTTATACATATGATATATAAATATTGTCAATATGGACGTGAGGGTGTGTGCTAGATAATGAAATATTTGGATAGCATACAATTTCTTCACATTCTTTTCAGTGGCTGAACACACAAAAAAATTAGACGGCCTAGACCGAATAGGCAAATTTTAATATAAAAAATATTGAAATTGAGAAAATTTGGGATTTCTAGTGTGTGGTTGGGTTAAAACACTTGAATTGAGAAAACTTGGGATTTCGCACACCCTAGAAATTGAAAGAGCCAAAGAGGTTGAACTAGAGCTGAAAGAAGGGCCCAATATAAATGAGGTCTCGTTAAAATTAGACTCCAGTAAGAATTCAAATTATAGAAAGAATTATCATCTGTACAGATCTCTAGGTGAGGAGGGGCTGGGTTTTAGCCACCTAGGGGAGTGACTAACCTCAATTTGCTGATTTTCCACTTTTCGATGTCCATAGCATCCATTCCCACATACAAAAATATGAATGTTTCCGCAATGAAAGATAGAGTCGCAAATACGTGCCTGCAATAACAAGTGAAAGACAGGCTTTCACCCCATCAACTTCCCTTCCATAACTTCATTAGTTAATGTTCTCTTTGTGTGTAGTACGTACATCTATTTGCGTAAGCATAATTGATTCTGACACAGTTCACTAAACAATCAGCATATATAATTTTATGACAGAACAGTATGGGAAGCATACTAAATGGGACCTGATCACACATGCCTGGTAGTAATTCTCGAACCTTCAGTCACATTGTGCCATGTATAGTGAGACATGAGAACTCCACAAAAGAAGACAGTCAAAATCCCACTAAGGCTGAAGAGCTACGAAATAGAATGTGTCATTTTTTAGGTGGAGAAACACAAACTCTTCAAAGAATTTCAGAATGGGATGCAAGTCTTCTTCTATGCTATTTACCTCAGCCAACATGTAGGATAGATATGCCATTAAAACCATGAGAGCTATTTCGCGAACAGTGGAATGCCTGAAGACAAATTAACGAGACCCTTAGATTGTTCTGCATCTTGTCTGCCTTTGTATATCTTACAAAGCCAAGCATACAAAATTATATGTAGTTAACAAGGCAAAAAAATTATTACTAAATTTACCTCCCAAAGTAGAAAACTTTTAGAATGTATGACGTTAACAGCCCAACCTGCAGTAAAAAATGAAAACACGCAGCTACACATTACAGTGAATCTAGCGAATACCAAGTACCAACACCGTTATTAGGTTGAAGAGTAACACTATGTTTGGTTCATGAAATTTGAAAGAAAAAGAAAAGAAAGTGACTTGCTCTCCTTTTCCTCACCGAAATGGAGGGAAATCTGTTTTCCTTCTCTTTAGTTCATTTCTTCTCATATTTTCTTTTCCTTCCACTTTTCATGTATTTTCCTTCTTATTTTCTTTTATTATCCCTCTCAAATTCCTTGAACCAAACATTGTGTAAAGAGTGAGTACAACTTACACCAACACCAAGTGCAGTGCTTGTGAAGAAAAGGTACAAAAAGTCAACGAGGACTCTGGCGAAAGCCCAGCCATCAAGTGTACTTCCATCAATCTTTTGAACTGCGTTGAAGAGGACAACTGATGTAGCATCATTGACCACTCCCTCCCCAAAAACCAGGCTATATAGCAGGGGGGTCTCCTCTTGATGCAATACCTACACGCCAACTTCCAGAATTTTAGATAGTATTTTTATTCAATAAAACCAGCATATGACTTCATAGATAAATTAACTTGCCTGCAACGTGCAAACAGTATCGGTCGACGAAAATATGACACCAATAGCTTAATCCAAAGAACATCAAATTAATGTTAGTCTGGATTCTAGAAAATTAATCTGGAAAAAAAAGGTTTAAAGGAAAAGGGCAGACCAAGATAGTCACGAACACTCAAATTACTAATACTGAGCCTTGGAAACAGCAACCAGCTGCCTATGCCACAAGACTATAAACCATCAATTAAGAAAAAAGGAACCACATGCAAGAGAACCTCTTACATTTCACCAAGATCATAAGAATACCTGTAGTGATGATGCAGGTTGATATGAAAACCCCAACAACCCCAAACAGCATAATAGTCAGAAAATTCTGGAAGAACTGTTTCTTCTTGACTTGGAATCTGGTGATATAAATTTCAAAAATGTATGTAATATACCATTCTCTAGCCAGGAAATACCACTTTTTTCCAGTAACTAAAAGCTTTGTTACCCGGCATTGAATATTATTGGTGGAAGGAGATATATGAAGAACAGTTCCTCATTAAATCTCAGTATGTGAGAATTTCTCCCCTTGCTGATCAACAAAATGACAGTCCCAGCCAGGAATCCCTAAACCAAGAGCAACAAAATAAGAAATAGAATTCAAATGCAATTCCATCCAACACAACACAATCAAATTCGTCCAACACAAAACTAAGAGGGGCGTGAATTTACTATGAAAATGGCGGTGATGGACTCGTTGACCCATCGGTTTTCTTCCAGCAAATGGCCGACCACCAAACAGAAGCACAAAATAGCAACGAACACGGTAATCGGCACCACCTGCTCGTGGCTGCTGCTGCTATTTACAACGTTTGCAACGTGTTCTAGGACACCCATTCTTGTCCGATCGAATTTTGTTGGAGCGCTGATGAGTGCATTGAAGAAGACGGAGAGCTGCAGATCTCTGCAGAGGAGGAGGAGAGGAGAGGGTTTGGCCCGGTTTCCCCGGGAAAGAGCCAACGGAACATTGCTGAGTGCGCGGAACTTGGCGACGCGTGGCAGGGCAACGCGCCATGTTCTTCTTAACGTGTCGATGGGAGGTGATTCCTGTGAATCAGATAAACCTGAGGAAAAATCTTTGTCCCCGTCTGCGGGAAGAATTTTCCTGCTCCATATTTTTAGGGAAATTTATTTATTTACTCGGTGTTTATTTTTCGTAGATGGCCAAATAAAATATACTCTATTCGCCTCTAATTTAATTACAAATTGAGGTTTACGAAGGAAACATTTCACTTTTTGAAATTATTTTATTTACAAAACGGTATATCGATAAAAATAAAAATTACATATTAAAAAACTACATCAAAAATTCTACAAAATAAGATGTGACAAGAATATTTTATTTTATCAAAAACAAAATAAAATCGCATAAACAAACAAAAATTATCGAGATGAGAGAAAAAAATTGTAAGAAATGGAGGGAGTAGTACTTTTTTGTCTCTAGTTTTGTTGTAATTTAATATTTTGTAATTTCTAATGTAATATTTTGATTATTTATATATTTATTTATATATTGATATATTTTGTATACTAAAAAGATATAATATTTCTAAAATGTTTGTATTGATATTAAATTCATAGTATAATTTAATGTATTTTTGTCTAAAAGTACAAAAAGTTACTTAGAGGTGACGCTAGTTTTGTTGTAATGACTTCCAAGCCCCTCTATTTTTATAAAACCTACCAAGGCATTTAAAATTCACTATAATTAGTCGGTGGGGGTCTTCTTACCGGAATTAGGTTAATATGAGTCGGGAAACAACCCTCACAAACGGAATGATAGTATAATCCCTATTATGCCATTATAAACATGGATAAAGAAGCAAGAGTCTACCCCGACCTCTGATATTTGAAATTGAATCGTGAACAACGTAGTAATAAGAGTCTACCTAGACCGTTCAATCTCACCCTCCCGCAATACACCTCTTCACATCATCGATTAAATTTGTTCTTCACTTTAATGATATGTTTGTTGATGTATTTGCTTTTCGCACTAATTGTTCTTGAAGCATAAACTAGGATTTTAGTGTTTGGGAACAAATGTAGTAGCTCTCTTTTTCTATAGTTTTTTTTTTACTTTTTTTTATATTTAGCAATTTTTCAAATAGTGTTGTGATTGATTTGAAATTGTAATATGATATATGTGGGTTTATTTTTTTTGTTGTCCAAGCTTCTAAAGGGTTTTCAGTACATGTGAAGCACCAGAGTATTTTGGTAGAAGGCATTGATTTGGATACGTACTTCTTGAAAGATCTTTATTGTGATGTGAAATCATTGTCTAAGAAACACAATGTTAGGCTACCTACGTTGATTGGGTTTAAATGGCATCCTCTTGGGAAAGAGTTACAAAGAAAGTCACTTAGAATGGATAGAGATTGAAATGAACGTATT